GACTAGTCAACATCTGAACCTACAGTACCTGCCAATCTGGCTAAACTTCTGATGTTGGATCAAAATCAAAGTTATAAGTGTCAATTCCGTGAGCTATTTGATAATAGACTACTTTGTGGTAAATTTCAGTCCTTGAGGTGAGGTGAGACAGCTCATTTTACAAAAGACAAGGGTAAGTGGCATAAGTGAGTAGTAAAAATTTCAAGTATTGTAGATCAGGCACAGCTCAGAATTTCAGTGCCAATGCTTAGCAAATTCAAAGAAGCAGGGGTATTCACTCTTATAAAATGGGGAGGGGGGGAGAATGCTTCTCAGGAATTGACAAGGCTGTTTTTCTTACAGAATATTTATCCAGATTGTGTCCATAATGACTTCTAGCTGTTCTGTAGAATTTATGCTCTGTGCTGACTGCTTCATAGCTCAGAAAAAAAAACACAACAAAGCAGAGTGATGAGTGAATATGACACTGGAATTTAGAAACTATTACAATAGATACTCAGGAGAATGTGACTAGTTATCATGTGATTCTTCCAAGAATGCACTCACCTCAGGCATCTCTTCTGGGGTTTGATTAACATATTTCCTTGTCTGCATAATCCTCTAAGCACCACAGTCTCTGGCTCTTGGAATTGAAGGCTTTGATGCCACAGAGACGGTTCTTAGATTTCAATTGTGCTCCCAAAATTCTTACGACGTGTCAGTATTAAATCTCAAACACTGAGATTGCTCATGTGTAAAGTGGGCTATTGAGTCACAGCATCTCACTATTAGGTTTTTATGAGTTTTAAACGAAGCCCATAGAGAGTCACATAACAAGTGACACCAAACATAGCCTATGCTATTTTGTGTGTCTAAATTGCTGTGGCAAAGGATGCTTTGGAACGTTTCATGAAAATTACCTATTTATGCATTGCATCCATCTATATAGGTCTTTATTAATTGTAGAGTAGGAAAAACTTTTCTTACTGGTTAGGAGAAATCATTAAAAGCAAGGTGTAGATGCTGCCAGTTTGTCTCAGTAGAGAATGCACTTGCTATATAAGCATGGACACCGTATTTTAAATCACCAGAATCCATTTAAAAGCCAGGTGAGTGTGGTTGTATGCTAATAACTTCAGTGCAGGCAGAAGGTAGAGACAGAGAATACCCAGAGCAAGCTATGTAGCCAGACTAACTGAAATGGTGAGCTCGGGGCTCCCTCACACATGCTGTCTCAACTTATAAGGTCGGGAGCAATTGAAGACACCTAATGTCTGCCTCAGGTCTCCACATGCACGCATATATATAGACATGCATACCAGCACACATTCAAATACGTATGTTTGTGTGCATATGTGTTTTGCTTAATACCCTTATCAAGAGAATGTGTTCCAAATTATTTAAATGGTTTCCCTATTGTTGAACATGGCATTAGTTTATCATACACTTACCATTATATGTAAAATATGATGATGAAATTCCAAGATTATCAAGGTTCAGTCTTGGTATTATGGATCAGACTTTGAGAGTGAATGTGTTAATATGTTGGACACATGAGCCAAGTTAAGGACATTGATTTAAAAATATGACAGAGTTTTGGGTGGTAATGTACAGATGTGTCTCAGCACTTGAGACTCTGAGGCAAAGTTGTAAGCTTGAAGCTAGACTGGGACACATAGTGAAATCTTGTCTCAAAAAAAAAAGAAAAACTTTTGAAGAATGAATAACAAAGAAACATCATATAACAGAGTAGGCAGAGCTTAAAATGTCCAACAAGGGTTAATCGCATCATAGTAGTGCCCCGCCATGGTAATAGTTGGGTGATTTTGCAAATCTTGAAAGGACAAACGAATAATTCCTAAATTCCTAGAATCTGAAGAGAGGACCTCCATGCATTAAAATGTGACAGGGGAGGAGAATATAATCGCCCAGATTATTCATAGGTATATGCTTCAGGGAGTTTCAGTTAGGCACTTTGATTTATTCCTTATTGCACCAGCTGGCAAAGGCTTCTTGAATTTATCATTTTGATGATATAAATAGTGTGTCCTCCTTGTTACAGTGCTAGTAAATCTAGGAAATGGATCACGTTACTTCCCCCATACCTTCTTTGTTACTCAGAACTCCTAGTAGTAAACATTCAATGCAGATCGTTTTTCTCTTCTCTGTTTTCTAGACATGACATTATTCCCATTGTTGTTGTTCCTGGCTGCTGTGTTA